CTCTCTGTAAGTAATAACCAATAGACTCTGTGCTCTATGATCTTCTTTATATAGATATTATGTTGCATGCAGTGTCTACTTTGTTCTCAGTTATTATCTGCTGGGAAGTTCAGTGGTATAGTGTTCTGATGTGTTTTTGCAATGTTACACAAATTATTTCTCAATATTATATTTTGGAATACTGATGTATTACTTCTTTGGTAAAGTTTATGGAGTACATGACAACACATATGCAGCTAATAGTCACTTACCTAGTGAATACCTGGGACTTTTGGTCTTGTAGAATTGCCCTCCTTACTGAATGATTTGTTCTATCTCTTTAATAAATATCATTGGACATTTGAATTTTTAATTGTTCGAAATCTGTGTCAGACCACTGCTTTCTAATTTTTAACTGTATTCTAACAATTGATCTCCTTGTATGGTAGACTTAGGACTCAGACAACCTAGGCTAGAAGGGGAAGAATATCTCTCCATAGTTGATGAATTTGTGGAAGCTGTTCATACACGTTGGCCCAAGGCTGTTGTGCAGGTCTGTTCTTTCAAGACTTAATGCAACTATTAAAATTTTATGCTGGTAACTTATTGTTGATATATTTGGACAGTTTGAGGACTTCCAAATGAAATGGGCTTTTGAAACACTGCAAAGATATCGCAAAAGGTTGTGCATGTTCAATGATGACATTCAGGTAAATTCTTCGGTGATATTGCTATGTAATTTTAGTTTTGTAGTCAAAATGAGATATACCCTCCCTTAGCTAGGGGCTTTGTGATTTGTCAATTGTGAGAGGCATTGGGGTACAATTGTATTATGCAAAAGCAAGGATGATGTGCACTACATTTGAAGTCTATATGTTATATCTGTAAAATACATGAAGCTCTAATTATGCTGTTGCTACCTTTTTGCAGGGAACTGCAGGTGTTGCTTTGGCTGGGTTATTGGGTGCTGTGAGAGCACAAGGCCGTCCATTGACTGACTTTATAAAACAGAAAATAGTTGTGGTTGGAGCTGGGAGGTAAAAATGTGATATTGCATTTCTATAATACAGGACTGATCATTTATTGTTTTAGAACTTTTAGCCTTTTAGGTAGTAATATTTGCAATGATGTATTCAGTGCAGGAATTGGTGTCCTTAATATGGCAGTGCAGGCAGTTTCCAGGATGGCTGGGGCAAATGGGCTCCCATCTGATCATCAATTTTACCTAATAGATAAAGATGTAAGTTTTTTTCACTTGCCTGATGCAGGATATATCTCATTGCAAATATTGTGTCTGCAAAATAATTGCAATTGTTTGGCTAAAATTATGTACCTGCATCCTTTCAACCCTACACCCCCACCCCCATACTTTTGGGCCATTTTGGGGACACAAGCTGACCAAGTGCTAAGCTAGTCAAGAATAAAATAGACATTGCAATTGTATAATTAACATTATCTACCTGTCCCCCCCCCCCCCCCCCCTCCCTCTCTCCCATCCACAAGCCTTGTCAGCAGTATTGTCAATAGTATAGTTTGCAATTTGGATTTCTGAATTCATCTAGCATTCATATGAATGACCTGTGCTCCCTGCATTTATCTATTAATTTTCTTACTGCAGGCACCAGATATCTGTTGATATCTTTATTAGTGCAATTGTGCAAAGGTGAAATTTTTTTACCTTTTGTGGGTGGGGAAAATGGCCTTTCGTGGGTGGGGAATGTTTCAATGGCTGACATTTTTTTTTTTATTTTTTTTTTAATTTGTATTTCTATACTCCACAAATTTCCGTTGTGCTTGCAGCTAGACTTCCCATGTACTATGCTGATCTCTATTTGCGAAAATCTATTCCAGTTTTCCACCTGGACATTGCTTACCACCAATATGCTTAATAGTTTCATGTTTTCTTTTGTCTCTGAATAATTCTCAAGTGATGGTAGAAATTTCAGTGAAGGGCAATGTTAAATGAGCACTCTGTACCATTCTGCTTGATTGTAATTCTATACATTGCAGGGGCTAGTAACGAAAGAGAGAAAGAATTTAGACCCATCTGCTGCACCCTTCGCAAAATATCCAGAAGAAACCAAGGGGCTTATGGAAGGAGCTAATCTAGCTGAAGTGGTAAATCTTGTTTTCATGCTTTTCAGAAATATCACTTTGTAAATTCTGCTGCAATAAGAAACACAGGAAGTTAGCTATGAATTGAAGCCTTCATGTGCTTCCATATCTTCTAGATACATTGATTTCGAACACTTAAATTTCAGGTTAGAAAGGTTAAACCAGATGTGCTTCTTGGTTTGTCTGGAGTTGGTGGCATCTTCAATGAAGAGGTGAGCCTATCATAAGGTCTTTTGAATTTTGTAGTAGGACTGAAGTGGAGTAATGAGTCAATGGAAAATTCCTTCTGATCTCATCTTATTTATCATGAGATGTGAAAGGATCGAAAAACACATCTCTGAGATGGTTCCTGAGATATTATTGTTTTCATGTTGGAAACAAATGTGATGCAAGATGTCTTTTAGTTGCATTATGAAACTCAGTGGGTTTCCTAGACCTCGAGGCACTTTCTGTATCAAGCCTTGACTTATTTATAATTCTTGACTCAGGTGCTGAAGGCCATGCGAGAATCAGACTGCCCTAGACCTGCTATATTTGCCATGTCAAACCCTACGATGAATGGTTGGTCCTTTCCACCCATGTCCCTGCTGCATTTTTATATTTTATTTTATAAAAAGTGTCTAAAACTTTTTTCAATGAACAGCTGAATGTACTCCTGCCGATGCTTTCAAGTATGCCGGAGAACACATTGTTTTTGCAGGTGGAAGTCCCTTCCAGAATGTAGACCTTGGTACGCATGGTTCAGCCATTTGCATTTTTTTTGATATGTTGGTTTACTCTACATGAAAATTTTATTTTCTTTGTATTGGACTGTTATGCTGTGTTTGACTGTAGTTGCTGCCATCTGTGATTGCAGGGAATGGAAAAGTAGGTCATGTCAATCAAGCGAATAACATGTACCTGTTTCCTGGGTGTGTGACTGTGATTCATCTTTAGTTTCTTATGATACATAAATTTGACCTATGAGACTGCAAGCTGCTCAATGAGATATTTATTGAACTTTTGCATATAATTCAGGATTGGATTGGGAGCATTGCTTTCAGGTGCTCGCTTAATAACTGACAACATGTTGCAAGCTGCTGCTGAATGGTAAATGAATAAACATATCATTCTTTCAACAAGTAAAATGGCATCTTTCCTAAGCTAAGTCAGACCGCTAGTGCTCCCTTCTTAAAAAGTTTGTGCTTTATGGTCCACATTCATCAGGCAATACTTAAGCAAATAGTGTTCCAAGTTCTGCTGTTCTATGTGTCATAAATACAAGTATATAACCTCTACATTACGGCAACTCACCCACCCTGCCACGATTTCACCCCTGCAAAATTATGGATTTTTTATGCTGAATAGTGTTCCCAATATCAGGTCTTTGTTCCCTTGACTTCATTTGCTCTCCACTGGTCAGCTAAAGAATCTCAATACCCTTTTATTTGTCTTGCAAGACAGGGAATAACTCTTATCAATTGTGTTAGTACTTGATTATGTTGCTAGGCTGCTCAAAATCCATGGCATATGCTTGATATGAAGCGTGCATAATTGGTATTGCTGAAGAGGTTAGCATGATCGTTAGCATAGTTAGTCTCACTACATGTTAATTGTTGGTTTTTCTGCAGTCTTGCTATCTACATGTCGGACGAGGAAATAAGCAAGGGTGTTTTGTATCCATCAATTGGAAGGTTAGCACCTCATTTGCTTAGAGCTTCATTCCCCGCACCCCAAAACATTACGATTGTTTATCGTCTGTAGAAATACAATGTATGACATTTAACGGTCTAACCAATGTTATTAAATTCAGTATACGAGAAATTACAGCAGAAGTTGGAACTGCTGTACTGCGAGCAGCAATTGCTGAAGACCTAGCTGAAGGACATGGTGAAGTGGGGCGGAAAGAACTCAGGTGTATGTCAGAGGTAAGATTATCACTTGCTACTTATCAGCAACTATACCAGCTGAACCTGTATAGTATTTCCTCTTGGATTTCTTGGGGAGGCTCCCTGTCTTCCCTCTGCTTAGCTTTTCCTTTTCTTTTTTTGTAGTTCAGTTACCAAATTATCTCTCTTTTCAATTCTACTTTTAAATGAAATGGATGCATGAGAAACATAATTTAATGTTTAGTGGTAGGATTTTTTTGGTCATCTCAACATATATCATATGCCAAAAAAAAAAAAAAAGGAACCTCTCTCCTGAAAATTACATAATGTGTTTGCCAATCATTACTGCTGCCATTGTAACTGGTATTGATCAAATGCAGGAAGAGACTGCGGAATATGTCAGACGGAATATGTGGTTTCCCATCTACAGCCCTCTTGTACACGAGAAGTGAGGCCACAACGATCAGCCCCTTCATCTGCTATATCAGTTGGACAGTCCGTTCTGGCTGAAAACTGTAAAACTGTCTCAGAAGACAGTATTGTTGCAAATTGGAACAGAAAAAATGTAGAATCATAGAAATGGGGAGTTGTGAAATTTTTTGCCATCTTCATCTGTTTGAACTGAAACTGTTTGAAACTAGGATCCTCCCTTGTATAGAATTATATCTTCAGGTTGGGTCCATTTTACTTGAAATCATTTGTATGCAGATGCAGTGCATTGTAGCTTCCAACTGATTCTTGCTTTGCTTTTTAACTGACTATTATACATTAACACTTAATATATTTTCGGTACTTCGGTAGGATATATATGGTATTATGGGGTGTTTAGAGTCTGTGTATGGATCTGTGTTTATCATTCAGGTGAAATGTGATGGAATGCTGATGATTTATTTTAACTATTTTTCGAGTACTTCTCAAGTAGGCAAGCACTCACTCAACCCTACAACAAAGGCCACATTTTTATTTAAAAAGGTCATCTCAAATTAATTGGCTCAGGTAATGTGATTGGTAAAGGACTATATGGTATCATGGTATGTTAGCTCCTAACCAGCGAACCTCGATTTATATCAAAAGATGGCTATGCAAAGAATCAAGCTTGTTGTAAATATGAATTGAATGATTCATTACTCGAATATGACCTAGATCACCAAATTAGATGACTAAATTGAATATCTATATTCGACAACAGTAACTAGATTAATTAAGAATCATTGTTTTGTGTTTCTCACTCTTGTCCTTTTCTTTTATTCCTTCTCCTTATTTATTTTTTGTGAGCACCAACTAAGCAAGAAGAACACTACGTGTAAAACTCATCACCAAGTACTAAGGCAGACAATTCGGATATCACTTCTTGGATTTGGTAGGTAATACTAGAACAACCTCAACCAATAAAAAAGTAGTGATGTGAAAGAACTTGAAATCCCTACACACTTGTTTGTTACTATTTTCTAGAGAGTTAGAAACTAATTCCTACTCCCTCCATCCCTTTATTTTTGCCCCATTGTCATTTTTTGGGTCAAACTTTAAAAATTTTGACCATAATTTACCGTTAATCTATATAAGATAATATAGTCATGAGTGGTCTTGTTAGATTTGTCTCATTGTATATTTTATTAATATCATGTTTTTATAATTTTAACGTATATGGAAATAAAGATATAGAAGTTTTAAAACGCGTCTTAGAGACCGCGCACAGTCAAATGGGGCAAAAAATTGGGACAGAGAGAGTACTAATTTAGGATTCTTGACTATTTCATTTGATTGCATAAATCAACTAATGAACAATTGGTGTATTATATACAACAAATTTTACCATCCCAAATCAAGACTTTGTTATGTGATTTAAAGTGAGCATGCGAATGGCACATTCACAAAATCACACTATTACTCAATATAAACTTGTTTTAATTAACTAATAAAAGACAACAAAAAATAAAATGTAAACTATATGTATACCCGAGTGTATAAAAAAAAATTACCCTTGATTAAAAGTGCTAAGCATCCTTTAAAATGAATAAGAGCCCACAGTATTGACAATTGTCATGAAAACGACAGTTATAGTCACATTATTGGCCACCCCAATATCCATAGTCCATCCAATACCAAACCTAAGGCAATATTAGAGACCTCAGACCTTTAACACAGCAACACTATTTTGTTCAGGAAAAAAAAAATGGCTGAACCATCCAACTTTCTGGCTGAAAAAAGGTCCTGGCCTCTATATTTTCTTTGTTGATTACATTTGCTAATAAATTATTCTTTTATCTTGTATAATTTATAATCTGGATTTGTTGGTGGATTATGCAGATATGCAGTGGTAACAGGAGCAAACAAAGGAATAGGGCTAGAAATATGCAGACAGCTTGCTTCCCAAGGAGTTGTTGTACTTCTAACATCAAGAGATGGAAAGAAAGGATTAGAAGCCCTTAATGATCTCATTAAATCCGAAATAAGCGCCGATAATCTTCTTTATCATCAGCTTGATGTTACTGATACCATGAGTATTGCTACTCTTACTGGTTTCATCAATTCCAAATTTGGCAAGCTTGATATACTGGTAATATTGACTTACTTGTTTATGTTAATTTCAATACGTATTTCAACTATTTAGGATAAGGTTGCGTACCTCTGATCTCTATAGACCCTGTAAGTTGATGTATGTGTGCTTTTTATAGAGGTAACTCAAGTAATTAATTAGCACAATATATTAGATCTATTATATTAATACGAGGTGGTATTATTGGATAATGAAAACCTTTTTAATTTCAATACGTATTTCAAACTATTTAGGACAAGGTTGCGTACCTCTGATCTCTATAGACCCTGTAAGTCGATGTATGTGTGCTTTTTATAGAGGTAACTCAGTAATTAATTAGCACAATATATTAGATCTATTATATTAATACGAGGTGGCATTGTTGGATAATGAAAACCTTTGGCATTTGTAGGTGAACAATGCTGGGACTAATGGAATTAAGGCTGACTTTGATGCTTTAAAAGCAGCAGGTTTTGGCACTGTAAGTATTCTCTGAGATAGGATTTTCTCTTTGTTTTAGAATGGATTAGGGATTATTTATGTTCAATAACACCCCTTTCCGGTAAAAGATCAAGTCTTGGAAATGATCGTCTCAAATTAACTTATTGTGAGACACGTGTACGTGTAACTAAATATAACCCTTGAAAAAGTAAATAAACGTCATCCATGACACTGAAAATTACCCTATTCTCACAATAAGTCGTGTAAGATCATCTCATACAAGACTTTGCCACCAATAAAAAAGTTACCTAGAAAGTTTTTTTATGATTGCGGTGATGTTTTTGATAACCGAAGTAATGTAATAATGTAGCCAGGAGCAAAGTTCAATTATGCTGAGATGATGACACAGACATATGAACTCGCAAAAGATTGCTTAGAAACAAACTACTATGGAGTAAAGAGAACCACTGAAGCTTTGCTTCCTCTCCTCGAGTTATCGGACTCACCAAGGATCGTCAATGTTTCCTCTGCTATGGGGAAGTTAAAGGTATAGATTTCTTTTTTGCATATAAAACATCATCTGCTGAGTAAAATATTCATCGATTAACTCGTACTTTTCTTTTTCACTCAGAATATACCAAATGAGAGAATCAAAGGAGTCTTAGGTGATGCTGATAACCTTACAGAAGAACAAGTAGACGATCTTCTGAACGAGTTACTGAGAGACTTTAAAGATGGTACATTCAAAGAGAAGGGCTGGCCTTCTACAATGGCAGCCTATATAGTGTCAAAGGCGGCTTTGAACGCATATACAAGAATATTGGCTAAGAAATACCCGTCAATCATTATCAACTGTGTTTGTCCTGGCTTTGTTAAGACAGATATCAACGGAAACTTGGGACATTTAACAGTTGAAGAAGGCGGTGCAAGTCCGGTGAGATTAGCATTGGTGCCTCATGGTTCGCCTTCTGGTCTTTTCTTTGTAAGAAATGAAGTTTCTTCATATGAATAAACGAATTACATGTTCAAATTCAAATCGATTTCAGATCAAGTGTTTGTTACCATTGGAACTCATTGATCACACTAGTACAAAATGTATGTACACTACAACAAGTGCATGAATATTTCACATGACTTATTACTCGAATATGATCTGGATCAAGATGACAAACTCGAATTGAAATCTAACTTTTGCTACCTATAATTGACATTCAAAAGCAATAGAAATTAAATTTATTGAGTACTGCTGTTTTGTAACTTTTGTTTGTCTGTCTTTTTCTTTTATTCCCTCTCTTATTACTCTATCCGTTTCATACTTTCGGTCGTTTCATAATAATTGTAACACTACTATATTTGGCAAAGACTCACCATTATTTTATAATTTCTTTCCCACTAATCTCACTTTCACAAATATTTTATTACTTTTCTTTCTTACTAACCCCACTTATACTACAATTTTTTTTTTTTTAATTTTTTAATTTTTAATTTTTATTATTATGTTATTATTATTTCTCTCTCCTATCAACCATTATATTATAAAAAAAATCTTCTTTTAGGCTCCATCCTATAAATTTTCTTAAACTTTGTGAACACCCTAGTAGTCGATTTGTACTTGTATATTACTTCTTGATTTGGTAGGTAATACTAGAAAAACCCGAAAAAAAAAAAAAAAAAGAGTTGTGGTCAACGACTTTTCACAAAAGAGAAAAAAAAGTTGCGATGATTTGTCAAAAACACAAGAAAAACTTTGTGATATGGTAGAACTTGGAATCTCTATATTTGTTTCTTACCTAATATTTATTCAGAGAATCGAAACTAATTCCCACTTATTTAAGGACTTCTTGAATATTTTAATTTTATTTGTTTTTTATACTGTAAGAAGAAGACCCTTGATCAGATTTCAATCATCATTTCAATTTGATTGTAGATAACATCAACTTAATTGTACACAACGCCTGAGCCAATTAGCGACCGTGCTTGTATTGTATACAATGGTACTATCCAAAATCAAGAACTTTATGCAATCTAAAGTGACTTTATGAATACTACAATAAGGAAAAATTGAGCCTCAACTATATAGTATATCGGTATAATAAAAAAATGGCGTTGTAAATAGAGATAGAAAGAGTCCATATTATTAATATGTAACGGCAATTATAGTCAAATTATTGGCCCCCCAATATCCATCAAATACCAAACATAAGGCAGAATAAAACTCAATATAAAGAGACCCAACACAGCAACACTAATCCTGTTCAGGGGAAAAAAATGGCTGAACCATTCAACTTTCTTGCTGAAAAAAGGTCCTCTAAATTTTTCTTTGTTACTTACATTTGCTAATGAATCATTTGTCTGGATTTATATTCTGGGTTTGTTTGTGGATTATGCAGATATGCAGTGGTAACAGGAGCAAACAAAGGAATAGGGCTAGAAATATGCAAACAGCTTGCTTCCCAAGAGTTGTTGTACTTCTAACATCAAGAGATGGAAAGAAAGGTTTGGAAGCCCTTAATGATCTCATTAAATCCGGAATTAGCGCCGATAATCTTCTTTTTCATCAGCTTGATGTTACTGATGCCATGAGTATTGCTACTCTTACTGGTTTCATCAACTCCAAATTTGGCAAGCTTGATATACTGGTACTATTGACTTAATTACATGTTTATGTTAGTTTTAATACGTATTTCAAATATTTAGGATAAGGTTGCGTACATCTGATCTCTATAGACCTTGTAAGTCGATGTATGCTCTTTTTAATTGTTTTAATCGTAGGTGAACAATGCTGGGACTAGTGGATTTAAGGCTGACTTTGATGCTTTAAAAGCAGCAGGTTTTGGAACAGTAAGTATTCTCTGAGCAAGTACTGTTTCTTTGTTTAATAACCCCTGTTTCCAGTGAAAGAGCAAATCTTGGAACTGATCATCTTAAACCAACTTATTGTGAAACACGGAGTAACTAAGGGTAACCCTTAAATTAGAAGTAATCTCTAAAGTGATAGTTCATTCAAAGAGAAGGGCTGGCCTTCTTTTATGACAGCCTATATACTGTCAAAGGCAGCTTTGAATGCATATACACAATTATTGGCCAAGAAATACCCGTCAATCATCATCAACTGCGTTTTCCCTGGCTATGTTAGTACAGATATCAATGGAAACACGGGATATTTAACAGTTGAAGAAGGGGGCGCGAGTCCAGTGAGATTAGCATTGCTTCCCCATGGTTCACCTTCTGGTCTTTTCTTTTTAAGAAATGAAGTTTCTTCATATGAATAAAAGGAATTACATATTCATAACTGATTTCTGATGAAATGGTTGTTAGTTTGTTACCACTGGAATTCTACAAAAATGAATGTAAACCATAACAAATGTATGCATATTTAATATTTTACATTACAGATCTGCAAGTTTTCCATTCAAGCTTATCCCACAACAGCTTTTGGCATGCTGTCTTGTAACTTTGTGATACTTGCTTGTAAATTTTGTCTGACTGCAAACATAACAGTCTATATGTTGTTTACACAGGTAATTAATCAAGGAAACTAATAAGAACACCCTTATTTCTGTTCTTTCATGGCAGTGTAAGGATTGGGTCTAAACAACACAAACCATGGTTTGGTGCACCTAGCAACACCTCCTTTGACTAATAGCCAATTTAACATGAACTAAGGTAAATGGTGCAATAAGTGTCACAAATGACACCCTACAACCCCTTCTCTAGTGGATTTTAGGGTCGCTAGTGTAATTAATGACACATGTTGTTCGCCATAGTTCATGTTGTTTTGGCTATTAGTAAAAGGTAATGTTGGGTGCACCAAGTCGTAGATTGTGCTTTTAAGGCCAATTTTGCCTAAATTGAATGATTTCATACGGAGTACAATAGTTGAATGACTGTATAATGAATTGATCCAATTCGCATTTTTCCATAGGTTTACTGGTACATTGTCCCTGGTTCTCATTGTTTAATAGTGATCACACTTTGACCAAAAATATTAAAGTCACAGACTACGGAAGAGAATGTAAAGAAATGGAGACTGAAAACTGAAACTTCAGCTTCCAATTGTAACATTGATTCTGGCTTCAAAGTGGTCTATCCCTTTCATGGTCTGCAATTTCTTGTTCCGTAAAATTGAAACCTGCATGAAGCAAATTATGAAGTAAATTTTGCAAGAACCTGCATGAACCTACCATGAAGTAAAAATGCTACGCAGCAATTTTCATTTCTTGCCAATAATGAATAATTGAATCCTGCTATCTTTTTCACTAGCTATATAACCATGAAGCATGTAACTGCTTTGAACAGTGGCAGATCATTGGTCAAGGGTTGATAACAAGTAGACAGTCGGACTATAGGAAAATTATCACTAAAAGTAGGTATATCTATAATATATTTTTTTTTGAGGAAACGGTATATCTAATACTATCTTCAACTGTTCTGGGCCTTAGACAATCAATTATCAATGTACATCACCTAAGGAAATCCAGGAAAAGGTAGAAAACAAGTAGCTCACCCAAACTCCCCAATCCCAGGCCCTGCCCTTGGATCAGACGAAGAATATATGTGATATAGGTGAAGCCATGAAGGAATTACACAACACAACACTCAAAGCTAAAATGGGTTATATCAAAGTAGCAGAAGGATCAATCAAACCACTACACAATAGGTTACATTAACCTATCAGAGACTTTCGCATCACATTTAAATGCGGCATTAAAATGGAAAATTATGCATAAGCAGCTGTATGCCATGCCAAAAAAAAAAAAAAAAAAAAAAAGATACCTTTGGCTTTGCCAATGAGCTTCCAAAGTATCCTATCCCAAATGACTGTGATGAATATCCAGCAGCAATCTCCACTGCTTTCAGCTCTGGTGTATTATTAGGACCCTGGAACAGTTATATCAAAACAGTTTAAAGACATAAAAACAATTCAATAGGAGGAAAAGAACAACTATAAGAACTAAAACAAGTTCCAAAAGGGAAGGATTTGGCCTCTGGCTCAGGTAGTTACCACCAAAGGAGCATCAGCTTGGACGAGGAGGATCCCAGCACTGCCATCGGCATCCTGTTGTGTACCAGCCTGAACTACCAAACGAAGAATTTTGATACAAGCAAAAGCCGGACCTGCCTGTGACCTGTTATTAGATGGACCGATTCAATCATCAATTGAGGAATTGGCCCAAGGATGTTATTTTCCCAGAAATTTGATGTGATTTTTTTTTAACAAGGATCATAAATCAAGATAGAATATACTCCAAAAAAGCCACCAATGAGGTGGGCAAGAATAAGCAACACCTAGAGTCTCCAACACAGCAATTATGGGGTGGGATATGATCTGGCACTCAAACTGGCAGTCATAACAATCAAAGTGTGGACCAACTTAAAAAGACTACTTTCACAAGCAACTTTTACTACTTCCCAACAGAAAGTTGTCCAAATTGCTAGCATAAGCCTGTTATTAGGAATAAAGCAGACTAAAATAGAACACAGGCACATCTGGTCTACAAGTAAAATGGCTAGCCAACAATAGTAGTGACATTATTGAAAACAACAATAAAGAAAGAATGAAAGAAAAAGAGCCAACATTTGACCTCTTGAATATGATATATTATTAACCACGCATTAGATTCGATGTGAAAGCAACTGCAAGTCTTCTAGAGAACATACTAAAAGATAACTGCTACATGCTAGCTCATCAATATTCAAGCTATGGACAAAAAAAAAGGTCAAAATATAGTACAATGACAATGACGTGCAGCATTCCCTGGCGGCAAAAGCTCTCATCAAATACTCTCCTGCTCCAGTAGTGCAACAACCTACAAGAAATGGAGCTCCAAAGGGTCCTTTCGAGGATGCCCAACAACCAGAGCCATACATGCCTGCTAATCCTACTCGTCCACTCACCTATAAAGAGAAAAGACCTCAATATCACTTTAATTAAAATATTATTATGTACTATTTATGAAGAAAAAGCAGTAGGAAAGGGAAAAAACATTGCTATTATACTGCTTATAATAAGCAATTAAAAAAAAAAAAAAAAAAAGGGAAGACCAACTGTGAATTCATCCACTCAAGTCAGAAACAAATGATACCTAAATAGTCTTTTTCTTCCATCAAGCAATAGAATATTCCCTATGTGCTATAAAACATATGGAAAATCCAGCTTTTTAGGAGCAACATCAATAAATGAGTTTTCCTTTTCATATGTACTTCTGATTTACAGGCAAATACACACAAAACAACACAACACAGACAGACACATAACACAAGGCATTTAATCAATCTCCTCCTTTTCATAACATGGGGCACCCACACTTCTTGAGGCTGAATTAAAATATTCAATGCACAAGGGGAAATTCTGGGGAAAATCTGGGGAAAATCCTAAGACACACAGATGCACATAAAATAATACACAAGTCAAACCTACACAAGAATGTTGGCATGGGAATGCTGGTACCCAATATTGTGTTCATCAGTTAAAGATCAAATTACAAAGTTACAGACCACGCCATACATTTATAGCTTGATTGTAGCCTCGTAAGAAGAAGCCACATCTCAAGAACTCGGTTCATTATGGAGTTGATAAGGATGGAAAAAATCTTACACTTAGTACTTGTAATCTCTTAATGCTTCACTGTGCCACCAATCAAAAGGTGAGAATCTGGCAGAAACTAGCAGCCTGAGGTTTCAGCTCTATCCTGTCAATTTTATTGAACTTTCCCAACTGTCTCTTTTAGTGTAATTCTTTGATGTAGGAATAATAGGTTCTACATTTGATAGTCTAAATTGTTATACTCACTCACAGCACACCAGGAAAGTGAGAGGTGAAACAAGGAGATCCACACTCAGTATATAGTGCAGCAAACACTAAATGAAGAATAATTCAATTGAATTAGCTACTTTATCATACATTTGTTTCTCTGGTGCAGGAATTTAAGTGGGATCAGGGATGGGATTGAGTAGAACTGAAAAAAGAACCAGCTTAACTGAAGATGGATTGGATGACCGAAAGAAGCAACTCCAAATTCAGTACCTTCATTGCAATACCACCACTGGAGGCTCCAGAGGCAACGTGTCCAACACGATCAATACATATGACTCCAATGGTGTCCATGATGCAGTCTTCTTCTATTGCCCCCAATGTAGAGGACTCAACATCCTCAACCCCTACAAAGGCATCACTAATATAAGCTTCCACATCTAGAGCACAAATCAGTACTGTTTGTAGAAAAGACTTACCATATAATAACTCTTTTTTCTGAGATCTACTGCTAGGAAGTATTGCTCCTATCTGTGTCTTGGCAGCATCAAGCATTGCTTTATACTTGAACCATTGTAATCTGGTTCTTTCAGTCACTAACCACTGTATCCATAAGATGAAAAGTCACGCTATACACAATCCAGAACCAGAGAAAATATCCATTTTTCCGAGATAGAAACTATTTTTAGGTGGTAGAGGGAAGAACCTTTTCAGCCTCTGTTACTGTGTCAGCACAGGTAATGCTCTTTGATTTTGCCCACTTATGAGCACCTTCACCAACTAAGAAGCTGCAAAAAGACCAAATATTAAACATCTCAAAAACAATTCAAATGAGATTAGCCCTTATTGCTCATTATATACAATGTAAAAGACCAGAGACACCTCTACACACTAAACAGCATAAGGGAGACTATTTTTTCTAATTTTGCTAGATGGAGAGGTCTTCTCCAATTCCTTTTTCCATACAGAAGGATCCCCCTTCATATCAAGCCCTTATTGCGATTCTTTCTGTTTCTTCTCTTAAAGACCTTTGAAGCCTTGATGATGGAGTTTGTGGGCATAGACAGCCAATACATATACAATGTGTAAGAATCTTTCAGACAGAGGATATAACTAGAAGCCACATATACAAGTCAAAATAGAGGATGACTTCCTGGCAGTGAACTACCCTATAGTGACCCCATATTCCATACTCTCTATTCGAACCATAGTTGATACCTAATACCAAATGGTCCCGATTAATTAATATTGAAAGCTTGAGTCATGCTCTAGAAATCTTATATGGCCTGCTTATAAACTTCCATACTGGACTGGAGAATACAAGTTCTAATAAAAGAAGACAAGTTGAAAATCATTACGTTGGTGGCATTCGGCCAAGCAATGAAGGTCCCATCTTTTGTTCCTTGATTAAGCAAGCAGCAACTTGGATGGGATTTCGAACACCTGATCTACAAAATAATGGAATGGATGAAAGAATAACAATCAGGAATTAAAAATGAATAAAAAATTGGACAACCTGGAAATGCCGAGTTCAGCATTTAGATACCTGGAACTGCTCCAACCGCAGCAAATGCCCCAGATTCACCATCTATGATGCTAGCATCACATTCAACATGGCCATCCTCTGTCAAATTT